TCCCTCCACCCTCAAAGACACTTTTCCCCAACCTGTGTGAAATGCAGTTACCATTAATCTGGGGGAAGTGGATTTTGCTCTCTTTCTGGGACCTTTTTGGTGAGAAAGGCAGCTCAGAGGCAATTTCTGAAGTGGGTTAAAGCACAGGACTGGGTTCTGTACTCAGCTCTTGCTGCATGCCCTCAGCCGAATCATTTAACATCTCGGTGCCTCAGTTTCTAAAATAGAGAGGGGTTTTTTTTCTTTCCATTTCCAACCCTGCAGGGATTTGTGAGTCTTAAACTGAAGTTTGCGAATGGCTTTGCAATGCTCAAATAAAAGTTGTTGCAGAGAGGCCAGCGGCTGCTTTTTCCCTTGCCTATTTAGTGTGCAGACAAGAGGAGTGAGAATGGATTGAAGGTGGGTGTTTTGCTTTCTTTCCAGGTGTCCAGAGTCCCGGTGGAGTCGTGCGAGCAGTACACAACCTGCGGGGAATGTCTGAGCTCGGGAGACCCTCACTGCGGCTGGTGCACTCTTCACCACACGTAAGTCCCTCGGTAGCTGGTGGCTTTCCCCTGAAGCATCCCTGAAAGCCTCCCAAATCCCCCTGCCTCCACTTAGTATTATTTGGAAAGAAAACAATACCACTCTGGCTCTTGCTTTCCTGTGGAGGCATTCCCCGTCCTGCAGGACGAATGCCATAGGAAACCACTGGCTTAAAAAGGACAAGAAAAGACAAAGTGCCAATGCAGGCGGGCAAGGTGGAATAAATCCACCCCAAAACCCATGTCAGCGGCTTGAAACCACGTGAACTGACTCGTTTCAGCACGGACCCCACTAGGTCCAGCTATTTACCAGAGTCCCTGCCCGTTTTTGAGCATGAGGGTGTTGCACAACAGGTCCCTAGCAGAGACCTGGGTGCGTTCCCTGTCGCTGGGCGAGACGGTTTAAATACTGCTCTGAAATTCCTGGAAACGGCATGCCCCGCTCTTCTGTCGCTGGCTGAAATCCAGCGAAGCAAGGAAACCGAGGGCTAGCTGGGGGCTCTGCGCTGGGCTGAGCCCTAACTCACGTCCACGGGCACAAAGGAGTAAAGTTGTGGGGTTTTTTCCGGGGAGCTTCAGGAAACAGCCTGAATTCAGGAGGTGCCTCTCTCCTTATGCCACAATAACGATTGCTTCCTAAAGCGGAAGGGGAACCCAGCACTTGGAGCCGGTGGGGGGAGAAATCGAGAGGGTGCCGATGGAAAGGAATCGAAAGCCCTTCGGCCCCGTGCCAGCCGGCAAAGCGCTGCCATTAACTGCATGGAAATCAGGGCGGAGGCAGAGGCACAGAGTTCAGGGGCCCACACAATCGCTGTTGGCCACATGCCGAAGCAGCAGGTGTTAGGAGGGCCAGAAGGAAGAGAGGAATAAAGGCTCGGATGCAAAATCTGGACTGGATCAGGGACCGGTGTGGTTTCGGACCTAACTTCCCTGCCACTGCTCGTGGGCAGTTTGCTGCCTTTCCAGCAGTCCTGGGGAGCTTTATGGAAAGAAACAGTCCCTGGGCTGGCTTGTGTGCTATCCCACACCTGCGCCGTGCGGGTGAGAGATGCCATTGTTCGGCATTGGGGGCGCGGGGTGGTCCTCGCCCCTCCTGCCCCATTCCCTTTGTCCTCCTTGCTTTCACCTTGAAGACTCGCCCACCCAACCTTCGGTGAAACTGTCCATCGTCTGCAATAGCCTAGGACCTGCAAACCGCTACGGTGAGTCCAGCCTCGGTCCAGCAGTGTGCCCTGGCTCCTGGTCCCAGTTGTCCGTAAGGCTTGTGGCATTAAGGATTCAGAGGGTGCATCAGCAGACAACCCCCATGGCTAAGGAAGATCTGTTATACAGGGATCTGAAAATCCAGGTGAAAAAGCCCTGGTGTGACTGGTCAGCAAAAGCTGCAGGGTGCGGTCATCCTGGTGACACAGGGGCCGGACGCGGTCACCCTAGACAGAGCGATTTACCACCGAGCTTGGCTGGAACAAGCAGCCGGCCCAAGGCCTGCACGTGCACACATGGGTTTGCACACGCAGTCATAAGAATCCTTGGCGCTCCCGTGATACCTTCCCGCCAAGGCCCACTGAGCACCGTAATAACCCTAATGAATTAAGTTTCACAGCTCACGGAGGAGGCAGGGAAAGATTAACATCCGCATTTTGCAGAGAGAAAAGCTTAGCATCCAGGGACAAAGAGACGTCCTTTCTCCCACCCTTTGTCTGCCATGTCACTGAACGTCTGCAGTGAGGGGTCTCTGTCTTGCTACACGCACGTGCAGCGCCTTGCACCGTGGGGATGCAGGTGCTGCTCTAATAATCGTGACGACGTTTTTCCCTGGGTCACGCACCAGGTCAGTGGTGGGAGAGGAGCAGAAGTGAGGAATCCTGGTTCCCAGGCCTCTTCTTTCACCCAACAAACGCAGAGACTGGTAGCTTATAGCAGGGGAGCTCACGCTAGGGAATGCTGCACACATACAGGCAGGATAAAGGGCTGAGCGCAGCTGGGAGCCCAGGAGAGCCAGACCCTGCATTGAGCTAAGGATCTGAAGTTGGCCCTCGGCCTGCGGTACGCAGGAGGCTGTGCCATGTTTTCCCTGCCTGGTACCTCTCCACCCTCCCTGGGAACCGCTCGGCCTTCCCACCGCCTGCTCGGTGCAACGATCTTTCTGGGGTTTTTTTTTTTAGCCCTCGTCTTAAGCTGTAAATAATGGAGTTTATCTTGCTGTTCGTGAAGCCACTGTCATCGTTGTGGGGAGGCCCCCAACGCCAGAGCGTTTGTATTTCATTTGTCATCTCTCGCCTCTAATTTTTACATTGCGCTCCTGCCAGATGGACCAGCTGCTGCTGTGTTCAGCGGGGAGGCCACGGGTCAAGATGTGCCGTTCACGCTGCATTCATGGAGGATTGATAAAAGAGAAACACAAATGGGGGTGGGGGGCCGGGAAGTCTGACACGGAGAGAAAGAAAGAGCTCTTCTAAGGAAAGCACAGGTTGGGCAGCGGGTACGTGAGCCAGTTGGGATACAATGAAAACTAACCATGAGTCTTGGTCCAAACTGTCTTTCCCACCCGCCTCTCCACCTCTGCTGGGAAAGAGAAATCCCTTGATAGCTTGAAACACCCTTTGTTTTAATACCGTGGCCTTGGCGCCGGCAGAGGGAGCAGGGGAGCCCATCAGACAGCTTGACCACGTAGGATTTCTGGGTAGTTTTGCAGGGTCAAGGGACACAAACAAGTGCTTGAATTTGCAGGTGCTTAGCACAGAGCTGCCTTGGCCAGCCTCGAGCCAGCAAAGGCTTGGGAATTGGGAAGAGCAGCAGTGCCGTGAGCTGGAGCACACGTGTGACCCCGGCCTGATGGAGTCAGAGCCGTGTGGCACAGACACTGTATTTAAGATCGGGTTCATCTGAAGCAGGAAGATCCAAATCCCATGCCCACCGCAGCCATGAAGCCAAGTGTCCGCAGCTCGTTATGGTTGGTATTATCTACTGTTTCATATTTCTATCGCAGTTGCACCTCGAGGCCCCAGTCAGGGACTGACGCTCCATTGTACTTGGCACTGTATACACACAGATGCTTAAACCTAATTGTGTCTGCAGCCAAGTTGTTTGCAAGGTTTAAACCTGTGAGCTCTGGAGCTAAAAGCAGGAGCTGCTTGTTTGCAGCAGGCCCAAGCCTCTGTATACACACCCGGTCACTAGAGAAAGGTTGTGGTAGCGTGGGTACACGTGTCCAGCCGCACGAGTCCAAGAGGCAGGAGAGGAGCAGTGATGGGAGCCTGTGGGGTGACGTGAGTCGAACTAATGCTTTTCCACACAGATGCTGGTTAGTCTCCAGCAGAGGTGCTGGGAAGCATGCAGGGGTGGAAATGGAAGCAGCAAGGGGTAGGCCTAAAATTTAAATTGAAGTGGAGGAGAGCGAGGTTTGAGCCTGGCTTCCTGTTGCAGTTTATCAGAAAGCGGCTTCACTGTAGGCTCCCCCCTCAACCTGGTATTATTCTAGGTACTTTCCAGTACCCCCCAGTATGTCTCAGACCCTGCCAAGGCCCACAGAAAGCCTGCAGAGCTTGCAGACTGACCAGCTGTTCTGTTTCTTCGGTATTTCCAGGCTCAGGTTTTCTTGCCTCCATCTTACGGGGTGCAATATTCTGCCAAAATCAGGAGGGCCCCAGGGGAAAGAAATGAGTGGGGAATCATAAATGTCTCTCTGAAGCATGGAGAATTAACATTCCCTGGCAAGGAAGTGACATGATCCAAGCCAGAGCCCTTGGAAGTTTCTGACTTGGACACCTCTGGCTTTTGTGCGTTGGCTTTTCTTGCTCTGCATTTTTCTCGATAGCTTTGACGCCAAAACAAGCCATCGCACTTAGAACAAAGGCTGTAACAACACAGCAGATGGGAGCTTAGCCTGGGATATCAGCAGTCGTTCATACATCTCACCATCAAGTGTCAGCGCCTTTGTAATGACCTTGCGTGGACATCCTGGGTAGGGAACTGGGAGCTGCAGCATCCGAGCGCAGGCGGCTGGTACTTGATGTAGGAGAGCTGGAGCGGTAGGTTGCGGTAGCTGAAGGGTGGTGGACCAGTCGGCAGAGAAGGGCCCTGCACGCGCTGTGCAAACACATTGCAGACGGGTCTAAGGAACCTGGGGCATAATGTAAGGTTTGAAAAGCCTCAGAGAAAAAAAGGAGAAATGAGTTGTCTTCTGCAAAACCCCTCAGTTCACCAAGCAAAAATTAGAAATTGCAGTCATTGGGAAACGCCCCAAAGAACGAGCAGCCTGCCCCAGGTCCAGCAACTCACAGCACTTGAATCCCAGCCTGGACTGGGCTCGCCTTACATTTGCTAGAGCTTTTTAATCAAGATGGAAGGAGTTAATTGCACTCCTCTTCCTCTTCCAGCAGCTCCTCTCTTTGGGAGGTAGGAAGGAGATTCGTTAAAAAGTCTCTTTGGCCCAGCGAGATTTGAAACCTGCAGTCCTCCTCCATATGCTGCTCTTTACAAGTATGTTATTGTCTACAGACCTATTTATCTCTGTTAGGGCTGTTGCCATAAATAGTATGATAAAAAAGAGCCGTTCCAGCGAGTCAATGAGATAAAGGCTCTAGTCAAGAGCTCACTTTAGAGCTATCTTACAGATTCACTTAAAACTCAATAATTCTTCCCTTTGGCAGCATTCATATTTAGGTCCATTATATTCCAGAAAAAGGAAGGAGGGGAGGGTGAAGGGACCAGCTGCATCAATTGCCAGGTATCATAGCTGCTGTTTGGAAAGGGAAAGTGGCAACCTCAGCGGGCTTTTCTTATTCAGAAGCAAATGGCCTCTCAGTAATGAAGATCGCTTAGCTGCGCAGTGTTTGAAGTCCCAATTTTGCCAGGCTCTTGTCACCTCATGGAGAAGAGGTTTGGCATGGGAAGATTAAGACTCTCTGTGGAGCAAGCAGCGTGACTGCTCACTTATAGCTCTGCCTACAACTGCATCCAGCCCTAGCAAAAGAAGAAGAAAACAATTAAAGACCCTTTTTTTTTATATGTTCCCTTTTCCACTGACTGGGGTCTTAATGGCAAAAGTCAGATAACCGCACTCGATTGCTTACATTCACAAATGCAGCCAAACAGATGTTAAAAAACACGTCATAGGGGTCTCGGGGGCTGGTGTCTGTCATACGGGGCTTTTCCCTGTGAGGCCATTCATTGCTTTCAGTTGAAATGAGATGAATGATGAGTGAAAGTTGAGGACAGTCCATTAACGCCATTAAAAAAGTCATCATATAGGTGAGGAGACCATACTTCTCCTAGGCACGAGTCGTGTTTCTGGCAGCCGATCACCAGCGGCCGCATTGGTGGGACACAGACCACACTCCCAAACTCAGCCTTAAACACAGCAGAGCAGAAAGCTGTGAGCTTTTTGCATGTAGGTCTCCCAGTGAGCTTGCCGGCACCTTGCCTTGTCTTGTCCCTTGGCCGTGCTGTAAATAGTGCTGATAATAGCGGTCACTGGCTGCACTGAGTTGCATGGGCTGTATTTTTGTGCTGTTAAGGAGCATTTCTATTCCTAGCCCTCCATCTCCAACGCTGGGCCAGAGGGCGGTGGTAGGGTTGATTAGGCCTCTTCACTCCACCGTTTTCCATACCGAGAGTGGCTGTCATTCTGAATCACGATTTCAATCCGCTCAGAGGTCCTCGACTTAATGACTTTGGGGGTGAGCCCAGTGCCGAGCACGCGGCGCAGCCCACGCTGGCAGCAGCACTCACCATTCAGCGTGGCACACCTCATGGCGCCTTTTTGAGGAGGAAGTGGTGGGCCGAGAGCTGGGGGAGGCTCAGTCGTGAACACCGAGCTTAACTCCGGCGTCTCCCGGCTGGGGATATGAAAGCCCAGCTTCCCGCACTTCAGCTTCAGGAGGAGATTAATTAACCATTGGGTTTTTCGGTAATTAAAATGCAGATGCTGGCCCATCGCTGCCTTTTATTGCTTTTTATTGAGTAATGAATTCATTGCTCTCGGGAATGAGGCACCACAGGCCTGACAGGAGCGGAGGTACTGGGCCAGCTTTCCACAGGTGCTGAGCACCCACGGATTCGGCTGAAGTCGTGGGAGCTGCGGGTGCTGCAGGCATGAATCAGGCATCTGGGCTGTCTCCGTTGGGGCTCTCTCTGTTGTCCACACAAAGTCCCCAGTAATGCATTTTGCCCAGCCTAGGAGCCTGGTGTTCAAGTCCGTGGGTCTCTGCACGGAGCTCCATCAGCACACCCGGCTCTTGCCACACTCGAGCCACCCCTGTGCTCCGTTTGCACGCCGCTGCCCACGCACCTCACTCCAATCTGGTATCAGCCCCCTCCGACAGAGCCAGGTTCACTGGGTGTCCCTGGGCACCGACGCAGGCGTGGTTGTGTGTCTCAGGTGTTCCCCGAGGGACAGCTGCGAGCGAGCGGACGAGCCGTACCGATTTGCCGACAGCATCGCTCAGTGCATGAGCATCACCGTGCAGCCCAGCAGCATCTCGGTGTCCGAGCACAGCCTCCCGGTAGGTCCTGATGCAGCCACTCGGCCAGATTGGGGAGGTAACTTGACCGTGGGGAGAACTACAGCAAAGTCGCGCGCGTGCTTCAGAGCCACGTCAAGGGGCCACTTTTCCTCCGCAAGTTTTCTTGCTAAGGTGGAGCTCTTGTTGGTGAAGGGGTCAGTGGGGGGAACCGTTAGCACTATTGCACACAGCTTGGCATCAGGGGCAGGGAGCAAGGTCCATGGAGCCTTGTTGGGGCTATTGTGGAGGGGGTGGAGGCAGTTGGGTTGCTGCCCTGTGCACATGGGGTGCGAGGCATCTCCCTCTCACATGCACTGGGGCAGGGGTCGTGCACACCCTGCAGGGTCTCTGATCCCCTCCCACCCCTTCTTCAGTGGCCTGGAAACTATTGAAGGATCAATATGGGCATTGGGCATCCCCTGTTTGTCTCTTGCTTTTTCCTATGCTGGTTATGGTAGAAATCAAACCCTAGCTTGCAAACCAGCTCCTTCTCTGTGTGGGGCTGACACGCTAACGGGTCCGCTGTTGCACAGAGAGGCAGTGGGTGCTGCACACATGAAGGCAGTGCGGGGCATCCTGGTTGCTAATTAGTTCTTCGTTGTTTCTCCCCGTTCTGTTTTCCTTGCTCCAGCTGCGCCTGCTGGTGAGCTACGCCCCCGATCTCTCGGCTGGGATCACCTGCCTCTTTGGGAACCTCACTGAGGTGGAAGGCCAAGTGCTGGGTAGCCAAGTCATCTGCGTTTCACCAGCAGCTAAAGATGTCCCCGCCATCCCTGTGGACCAAGGTGAGCAGCTCTGAGCATGCACTCGCCTGAGCCGGTGCAGGTGAGCTGCCGGACAGAGCAGGCCCTCGCTGGGTGCCCGTATCTACCCGACCGGAGGATGCCGGATGACAAAAAGGCAGTCAGGAAAACTGCTGGAGGTGGTTGTGTTGTAGTAGCAGACCTGTGCCAGGCACCCCCTCTTCTGTCATGCTCAGCACATCAGGGAGGGGGACGTGTCGGGGCTGCCGCACTGAGGCTTGACTCAGTGACGGCGAGTAGGTGGCTAGGGTTTCTATTTTTTGCTTCTGGTCTTTGGGTTGTTTCTTCATTAATGTCACCACTGTCATAGTTTCTCTCTCTCCATAACCCAAATGCTACTTGCTTAAAACTCATTTTCCCCTTGGCCTCCTTCCAGGTGTCAGCTGAGCTTCCCCGCTGATGTTTTCCTATTTGTAAAATGTTACATTCAGTTTGAGTGCTGGAGAAAGTGAGGGGCTGAAAGCCTGGGAGGAAGCCGGGCGGCTGAATAAAAGCGTGCTCCAGGCTGGCTTAGCCAGTGCAGCGTAATCGTGCTTACTCCACTGGCGAGCCTTTGAAAACGCTCTGTCCGTGCCCTTCGCTCCTCATCTCCGAGGCCCAGCCCCTTCCAGTTCTGGGCTGCGCTTCAGGGTAGACGGCGATGATTGATTGTAAGTTTATGCTCAAAGCAAGCACTCTTTAAGGACTGGCCTGAGGCTGTCTGGCTGACTTCACCGGTGACTTGAGGTGGTGTTTGAATGCTGGATCTAGAAGATATTTTTGCCTCTCACCATCAAATCCATTTGGAGGGACTCTGGAGAAAGGCCGTATAGGGCTTTGCTACCAGACTCGACTGACCAGCCATGAACCAAAATTGGCAGGTTGCCTTGAAAGCCCTTAGGGTCCTAAGTGTGATCCTATCCCACCCTGCCCAAGGCCCTGGGAAAACATGAACCCCCTACTTTTATAGCACACCATCCCCTTAGCCTTTAACTGAGTCACAAAAGGCAGCAAGTAGGAGAAGACCCATCTGCTTCTTGCATCAACTCCTTTTTAGGGATCAAGCAGGGTGGAGCAGGTTCACTCTTAGGCTGCTAACTTCACTCAGGCCCTAAGAGGTGGGCTAGGACCTGGCTGTTCAGAGGGCCTGAGCTGTGGTTCTGCATCGTTGGAAGATTTTAGCTGCAGGGGGGACCAGACTCTCAGGTCACAGGCTAGCCTGGGCTCCCATAGGACCTGGATTCCCTCCACACCCCCTCAGGAGGTGGATGCACAAAGGGTCGGTCAGCCTCGAGGGAAAAGCAGTGCAGCGTCTCCCACTGCTGGAGTGACACCCATCTCTTCCTCTTCCCTTCTCCAGACTGGTTTGGGTTGGAGCTGCAGCTGAAATCCAAGGAGACGGGCAAGATGTTCGTCAGCACAGAGTTCAAATTCTACAACTGCAGCGCCCACCAGCTGTAAGTCGCCCCTCTCCCGCCTTCCCTCTTCCCCAGCCCCCCTGGGTCTCGCCAAGCCACACAATGCACAGCCTCTTGTCTCCATAGGTGGGAGAACGGGGGTCTCTGTGAGCTTTGCAATGCACTTTCCCAAATCCAGGATTTTTCCAAGCCATGCCCTATCCCTGAATCCACAGCTGCTCCTGGGTGTGCCACTTAATGGCTCGGGAGCCCTTCTTGTGTCACTGAGATGGGCAAAGGCACCATGTGCGAGGGGAATCCCAGCAGGGAAGGGGGATGAGCAGGGATCTGGAGCTTGGGTCCTGGCTGGCAGCAGCCCTCTGGCCCTTTCAGGCCTGGCCTGATGCTGACAGTCTGATCCCTGGGGGCTAGGGAGGGAGTCTGGAGATCTCAGCATATGCGTGCATGCACAGAGGTTGCCGTGCCTTCCCAGAGAGAGGATGTCTGAGAAAAGCTTAACCTGCTGGTGCCCCCAAGCTGCATGATCCTGCAACTGTGAGCACAGCTCTCCTTACTCACAGGCAGGGCTGGGGAGGGAGGGAGGGAGGGAGGAAAATGCCCAGGAATGTCTGGGGAGGCCGATTCGGAGCACCCATAGTAGACGCAGGAGCCTTTTCATCCCCAGCAGCCGGGAAAGCGCAGTGCCCAGTTCTGCAAAAGAACGGGAAGGAGAGGGGTACGAGGAGGGCAGCGGCGGGGGCTGGAGCTGCAGGGCCAGGGGCAGTGTTTCCACCACAGCTTGTTTCCTAGGGACAGAGTTTGTACCACCTTTGCTGTGGCTCTTTGCCCTGAGGCTGGGCTAGAGGAGCCCACAGCATTGGCAGCTCCATCCAGCTTCGTGCTGTGCGGTTCCTGGAGCATCTGACAGGTGCCAGGAGTTGCCGTGGGGAGGGCAGGTGCTTGCACCCAGGTGCCCTTGTCCGTGCTCGGGAAGCAGCTGAGCATTGCAGCAACACCCCCACCACTGACCCTTCCCCTCCCCACCCAAAGCCCTCAGGACACGCAGAGCTGGCAAGCTCCCTAAGTGTTTTTAGATTTCACCCGAGCAACAAACGAGCGAATCTGGAACTACCAAAAGAGAGGAGTGCAGAGCACGGGACAACCCAGGGTCAGGCAGCAAAGGGCAAGCCTGACCCCCTGTGCTCAGTGCTGCCAGGAGCTGCAGAAGGGCTGGGGCTGGGAAGGCCCGTTAGCCCGGCCTGCCCTGCCTGATCCGTGGGGCTGTCCATGCAGACTCGGCCCCCGCTTTGCCTTCTGCCTTCATCTGTCCAGCCTAGCTTTGGACGTGCCAAGCCACAGGGCTCCCACTCCCACCCTTGGAAATCCCATGCTCCAGTAGGCTTGGCTCTTACGCAGGTTTTTCCTGGCACTTAGTCTGTGTTTTGCCTTTAGTTTCAGCGGAGGTACTATAGCCATAGGGGCTATATGTGTCCCATGATGGATGGATCTCATTACTTCTGCTGACAGTCCCTTTCCACCCTTCCCAAAACAATCCCTGTCCCTGCTTCTGTTAACACCTTTCAAATGCTGCTAGACAGTGATGTCCCTGCTTCACTGTCCTTTAGCCAAGCTCTGTGGAGGTAGCTTGCTTTCCTCCCCCCTCCTCCTGAGTTAAGTTTCTGGTACCGTAATCAGTTTGGCTTCTCTTCCCTGAATTCTTACTCATTTGGCTGGAGGTATATCATGTCAGGAAACCTGGACAGAGTTTCCCCTGCTCTTTACTTTGCTTTGCAACCTTTAGGTCCTGCAGAGGCAAGGAAAGAGGGCCAGCTGTGCCCCTCTGGCTGTGTGCTGGTGTGGGGAATGGCTTTGCTTTCCCCAGGGTACAGTTCATTTGGTACGCCGGATTCTGCCTCCGTGCACTTTTGCGCGCACATCGTACGTGCAAGGTGCTATGTGCACTCTGTCTGAGGAGGGGGGATGTTTCAAGAAAGGAAACTGTTCCCTAGACCTGCCGAGTAGCTGGCCTAGGGTGGAAATGGCATTTGCAGTTCATGTCAGCCCTTGATAATTACTTCATGAGTCTCCCAAGAGCTCCCCCAGATGCCCCCACCAGAGACCTCTCCCTTGCTGCACCCAATATGCCAATCACTAAGTTTGCTTGAGGCTTCCTAGCAGGCCAGAGGACATTGGAGGCTTGAGACTGATGCAAACAGGGGGATGCTGTCTGAGCAGAGTGGTGTTGCTAAACCAAACCATGGGGCTAGTGCCACAGAACGCCTGTAATCCCAGCAGTGCTTAAAATGCGCTGAGAGCGCTTGCAACGCCCGACAGGAAAGCAAAAGCCCAAGTTCAAGGCAGGGGCAGGGGAAATGCTGCAAACCAAAATGGAGATAGAAATGGGTCAAATAAATGAGTAATTAAATAAGCTCGTCGCGCTTGATATTCCTACCCAGATTTGCATTTGCATGATTAGAATAAGCCGCCTGAGCTATTAAGGTCACTACAGATGCCTAAGAAGGGAAATACAATTGAGTTATGAAAAGGGGAAGCTATTAAATATGCATTTTAGTCGCTGCAACTTGAGAGAGAAAATAACAGGCCGTTGCCTCCCAGCCCAGCTGGCAAAAAGGGGTGTAAAACCCATTCAGTCCCAATAAGAAGCCCAGACCCTTTCCCTTGGAGGACTGTAAGCCAAGAACTTCCCAGGAGCATAGAGGCAGGCAACCCTTTCCATCTTCCCCAACTCTGGCATTGCAGAGAGGGGGCTTTTGTGTTTGCCCAGATCCTGAATCTGTGTTTCCTTTCAGTCCTTTAAAGCCCTCATTAGGTCACAGTAATCTGTGATCTTACCATTGATTGCAATGGGAATGAATATGATGTCACAACCTGAGAATTATACCATCACATGGAGAAAATCATCAGGCAGAGCAGCTGAATTCATAAGCTACAATGATGCCATCTTCAATGCTTGGAAGAAATGAGCCTGTTTTCATGCAGATGCTTCCCAGTATTGTACAATAAAGAGGGGAAAAAATAAACCATGTTGAAGAAGCAAAAATGCCTGTAATGTAAATGTTTTTCAAAGATTTTCCATCGGGATCAGCTGTTCTTTAAATAACTCCATGCAAAACATCAGCTAGAGCTTTCACTGCAGTGGGGACAAATACATGAGACGGGCTTGTATGTGGAAGAGAGGAGTGACAGAGCCTGAGCTGACCTCAGTCTGCCGGACCCACTAGATGGTGCTAAGTTATTGCCGCTGCCATAATCCCCATGCATTCAGTACATGCTAAGGTGCCAGGGCCTTTGGAGGGTGCGCACATCCCTGCTTTTAGGTGTCTGAGGTGAGAAAATCACCAAGAAGCTAACCCCCAGAGAAAATCACCAAGATGCGTCCCAGGGCACCGAATGGCTCCCAAGCCCGGGGGAAGCATTTCAGCAAATAACAACTGCTGTTGTGAACTTTTCGGTTTCTTGGCAGCCGCTCAAATTAAACCTTCTTAACTTTTAGAACAACCAAGTCCACTTTCTTCAAACTTGGCTTATTTTGTAGATCCCTTTGAGACTTAAAATCAAGCCAGGACATGCACATGCGCACACACATGCGCACACACACATACTAACATCTTCAGACCTACTCTGTGTGTATGTATATATATATATAGAGAGAGAGAGAGAGAGAAGGCCTGAAGATGTTTTATATATAGAGAGAGAGGCACATATATACATACATACATACATATATATATATATATATATATAAAATACACACACACACATATAGACATATATATAGAGAGAGAGTAGGTCTGAAGATGTTACTATATCCATATCGATATACATATACCTAGGACCAAAAGCTAACATTTTATAAGAAAATAAAGCTCGGAATCTACTACATGTTGATTTAACGGGCGGGTCAGTTCAAGACTGACTATATTTTTGGGCAAGAGCACAAGCGGAGAACCCTTTCACCCCCTCTTGTGAGTGCTCAGTTTGTCGCACTCAACACTGAACATTACCATTTCTTACTTGCGTAGCCCCCAAAAGCCCCCTAGGCATTCAATGGGTATATAATTATACCAGTCCCAGCCCCAAAGAGCTTCCACTCTTAATAGGCAAAACTATTTAGAGATGCAGAAGTAAATAAGAGCAAGCAAATGAGGCAATGCTGCTGGGCATGCTGCTGGTTGGGTCCCCGACTCTCTGGAGATTTGCTTCATTTTTCTGCATGAAGGAACATCTCTGTGGATAAATCAGCATCTCCAGATAGGTTTCTCTGTTGCAATACTGAGTGTATGACCCAATGACAACTGCTGTGACATGGTCTTCCTTTCTCTCTCTGTCTCTGCAGGTGTCTGTCCTGCGTGAACAGCGCTTTCCGCTGCCACTGGTGCAAGTATCGGAACCTCTGCACTCACGACCCCACCACCTGCTCCTTTCAGGAGGGAAGGATCAATGTTTCAGAGGTACTGGGATTGGGTTAGGAAGCGCTTTCGGGTCCAGCAGTAACTGCCACTTGCCTGGCACTTTGCATACGAGTGTCTCGCAGACCGTTGCAAAGATGAGTAAGATTCAGTGCCCCTGTTCTGCAGCACAAGGTCACAAGGGGGTCTGCAAATGGCCTAACAGCAGATCAGCTGCAGTGCTGGCGGCCAGATCGCAGGGTCCTGTTCGCTGGGCTGTGCTGCCAGATCTGAACTTTGAGCTGTCTACCATGATTGCGTAGTAGTCAGAGCTGGAGCAGCCCCAGACTTTGGGGAAGAGACCCGCGTTGGGATTCAGGCTCTGTGACTTGAGCCCTTGTCTGCTCATACTGAGGAGGAGTTGGGATTCCAGTTGCAGGACTCTCAGGCAGCGTTGATGGAAGCAGGCTCTTGCTGACCAGTTTGCCCAGTCTTGTGCAAGTGCTGTGGAAAGGGATCCTAGAAGCTTGGGTGTTTCTGTCTCCTTTGACTTGGGATTTCTGCTTCCTCAGCAGAAGAAATAGCCACGCGCCTACTGATTTCCAATAACGAAGTAGCCCCACTTCAGTGGAACTGGAACAAGTCCGCGGCGTGGCTTTCATTAGCTTCCTCAATGCTATCTTCTTCCATTACAGACGCCGCGTGTGCTCACAGATTGGTAACCAGAACAACACTTCAAAGCATATTGTTGCGTCTGCCGTCAGCCTGTAAGCTCTGCTGGGCAGAGATCACATCCTTGCTGCATTTGGGAGGCGCCGAGCACAGCTGTGGCTGCCATTAGAAACACTAATTGTAGTAATGTCTGTGATCCAGGCAGGGTTCTGGTCTGTGCCTTTACTGCTTCAAGAGCGGCCTGTGCAGCAGGCACGTGTTTACAGGGTGTCCTTCAGACAGTGTCACGAAAACACCTTCCTGAGTGTGAGTCGGGCAGGCGCAGAGAAGAGGAGGGCGTTAGGCAGTGATTTAGAAATTACAAGTGGCTCCGAGAGCGGGAAAAGGATGAAGTGCTGTCAGGAGAAACGGGAACACCCATACAGACCGCAGCGGGACATGCATGGTGCCGTGAGAGCAAGGAGGCCAGCATTAGCCGGAAGGCAGAGATAGGGGTGCAAGAGCGGAGGACTCAAAAAGACTCAGTGAGGAGAGAAATCAGTCTGCAGCACGGAGGAGGAACAGCAACGAGCCTTTGGCTCCTCTCAGGCAATGCAGTTCTTTTCTTCTCTCCGTTCCTGCTCACCATTTCTCAGGGAAGATGCAAATACATGGGGAATATGGGTGGTGGGCAGCTTGCAAAAAAGCAGGGTTAAATGGCTGTCATCCAGTCTGAAAGGAAATGAGATGGAAGAGAATAAGCCACCGAGGAAAGGAAGAG